ATTTATTATTATTTATTATTATTTTTTTATTGTTATTAATATTAATATTAGTATTAATTTTTTTATTATTTATTATTGTTTATTTTTATTAATTATTTTATATATATTTAATATATATATTATATTTAATATATATAATAAAATTATATTTTTTTAATATTACATATGCCAGCCATTTTCAGTTGGAGCTTGAAAACGTACTGCAACTGCATTTCATTTTATAATCTTGAAGCAGTTAGAAAGCACACGAAATTAAAACGGAACGATAGCTGCAGTACACTTCCATTACGTCATAGCATGAATACTCAGAGTGAATAAAGAAACGCACCCGGTATTTGCCGTGCGGATTGTCGCATGAGATGAGAAAGTTTGAATATTGGGAATGAGAATGATCGCTCCTGATTCTAACTTCTTACATGAGAGACAAGTATAGTGTAAGTAGCTTGTCGGGGATTGAGGATGCTCTGTCCCCGGGGACTGAGGTTGCTCGTGTTTTGAAGGAGACGTGAGACTGAGAATAATCCGTCTCGTGATTGTGTGGAAGGAATCCATAGTCTGAGAATGCTCAGTTATTTCTCGGAGAAGCGAGAGATAAGTATGCTTGACGGGGACTGAAAATATTCGGTTCCGATTTTCTCTCTGAGGATGTATATTAGTGTCGAGTATGCTTGGTGGAGATCAGGAATGCCTGGTCTTGATAATGCCTAGTATCGGTCGGAGACGGATACAGGTCGGAGGATCGGATCGGCCTGGTTTCTTTTCCTAAAAATCGGCCGGGTTTATATACCTGACTTGATGTCGAATATTTTGCGGGTTGTCAGCGGTGTTTCGACGCGTGCGTAGCGGGCGCGTGTTTTCGTGTGGTCGGCGCGTTCAATGCGCGTCGGCTGTTTTTGGGCGCGAAATCTGAACGCACTTAAATTAAACAGTACGCGGAAGGCATATCATTACATCTGTTATAAGTATTATTTAGGCTTAATTTTACTTTTATAGCTTGAAAATTAGCTACAAACCTGAAGGAATTTGGTGTATCAAGAAGCTAAATTGTTGATAAAAGTTGTGTACGTACACAGATATAACTGGACGTTCTAAGGCAGGGATTAACAAGTGGGCACTGCTTGCGGGCGCCCGAATGCCCGCGGGCAACAGTTAAGCGCGCTCGGCTAGCGTTAGATCGCTAGGCACAATAAAGTGAGGAGAAGGGACAGCAGGAATGTCGTTCCATAAACGTGCTATTCAAGAAAAATATTGTGTCGCCCAAATTCAGATCCAGAATTAGCATGAAATAATATAATATATTGACTTCTAGTTATTCGTTTATTGCTATTTAATTTTGTTAAATTACAATGCCATCCTTGAGTATCATATGGATATATCCATAATTCAATATTTGGATCCATGGTACTAATACTTTGTAAAATTTTGGTATTTTTATTACGTATCGTGACATAAGATTCTGGAATTTCTCCATTAGCAGTAGTTCTAAAAACAGCTGCAACTTCATTAGTCCTTTGAACATTATATCGCCGTCGATCCATACCTGATCTTAATGTAAATAATAATTGTAATTCTGGCAATAATTCTGGCAATAATTCTCCAGATTCTATTTCTAATCGTCGTTGATTTTCTATTTTTTCACCCATTATTTGATAAGATTGAGCAAATACATTAAATTCTCGCATTATATGTTCAAGATTTGTATTTCTCAAAATCTAATTCTAAATTTTCTGTAAGACGATAATTTATCGCTTTATTAGAATCTATAATAAAAACTGACCATAAGTTGGATTTTCATTTTGAATAGCATATAATGCTGTATTTATTTGATAATAAATTTGTTCTTGTATTTTGAAACAATACGAACCTGGTCGCCTACTATGAAAATTAATCAAATTAGCATTAAATGATGCATTAAATAAAAATGAACTATTATAATTACAAATATGTTGGAAAAAATTATTGGATTTTGTATGATTACTTTCGAATAAACTACGAAGAAATTATGGATGTGGAGATAATGGTTTCCAAATAAACTGCACCGTGATTACAACAATCATGAAATGAATTTCCCTTATTAGATATTTTTTCTGCTATAAAATGTTTTGCTTTGCAATGGATACAAAGTATATCCATAGAACCAATATAGTATTTGTTACGTTCGGCGGACTTCACGATTCTTCTCTCTTTTCGGAGCGAACGAGCGAGCTCCGATACAGCATTAAAAAAAATCATTCTGTAAACTAAGATAATTTTTACGCGCTCTAGCTCCGTGGATACAAGTCTGCCGAACACGTGAACCTTAGACTGTTGACGGCTCGCTTTTCGAACTAACAAATAAACTATAAAATCCAATTGAATTGACACTAAGCTAAAATAACACTTGAGTCATATGCCGAATGCAAAGAAATCCTTAGTGCACTGGCGACGACGGAAAATCATAAATCGTCAGAGTAGGTATCTGTTTTCCCTCATGGCATGGTTTCGTACTCGAATAGCCGGCGTCGGTTA